ATCCATTCAAGTACAGATGCTTGATAATATAGCTCCCAATCCGGTAGCCCAAAACCCCCATTGCCTTTAGACTCCTGTAACGTTTTCAATTTTATTCTTGCTTTTTTCCCTTGCCAGATATATTTCAAAATAGTTTTATTTAATTCTTCAAAATAGTTTTCTCTAGTTTTATTGGTATTGTTTGAAATAAGAAAAGTAACTTCAGTAATATTTAATAAATATTAAGTGGCCGTGATTGAAATTCTTCCTTATTCCAATAGGCCTGAAGTACAAGATAAGTATAGAAATGAACAGATTAACTAGTGGGTAATTAATAGAAGTTTAATCATTGTATCTGCCTCAATGAAGGCTTTCTTAAATACAAATGATTTAAAAAATTGACTGTTGAATTCATTTTATGAGCTGACAAAAATTATTTAATGCAGCATGTGTGGTATGAAAGATGCCAATTGCTACATTTGATCAAATAATGTTGCGGTACATGAAAAGTTAATAAAGAAAATATAATTTTTTTTGTTAAGCCTAAAAATGGGTGATGAACAGCTAAAAGAGATAATGATAGTATGGGCAAAAATGTTTGGATACAATATAGAACTAACAAAATGGCAAAACTGTGGGAAATAAATTGTAAGTTGATAATGGCAACTACTTATAAGGCGAATCTATATAAAATGTTTTATATGTGGCACTAACCACCAGCGAGATTAGCAAAAATGTTTAAAAATTTGTCCGCCAGATGTTGGAAATTAACTAGACACTGGGCATGTATTATCACATAGGGTGGACATGTGCAAAAGCAAATAAATATTGGAAATAAATACATACATGGTTAGAAAAAATGTTAAAACAGTACATAGATTATAAGACAGAAATATTTTTGTTAGGCATGGTACCAGAAAAGTATGATAAAGGGAATTTAATATTACATGTATTTAATATTACATGTATTGACAGCAGCAATAATTGTATTTGCACAGTACTGGAAAAACCCATACAACAGAAAATGTAATTAAAAATTTTTTTAGATTGTGCAGAAATGGACAGATTGACATTAAAGATAAAAGAAAAAGAAAATGCAGAGTATTTTCGAACATGGGATTTGTTTTAAAAATGGTTGGATAATAGAGGTAGAAATTAGGAGTGGGAAAATTATTATATAAGGAAAATGATCCGGACAATATGCTATTCACCAAGCACTTATGTATGTGAAGTGAAAATGTATTAAAAAACTGTTAAAAAAAGATACCAATTGCTGTTTCAATAAGTAGGATTTTTACTAATGTTACTTTATTCTGATTGGCAGAGATGACCATATTGCGGCTTTATTAACAATGAGAGGAGATGCCAGCAGAGAGATGAAGCAGACCATCATTGAAACTTTGGATAAAGGGCCAAGCCAGCCAAATCCAAATTATGTGCCACTTTTTAAAGAAATTATAGTTCCAACACTAACTGTGCCAAAGCTTCTTAAGTAATAACAATAGTTATGTAACAGTTTTAATGTCAAACTTTGCAATGTTTTAGCTTATAATGAATATAGAGAAAATATGAATTTCTTGCAAAGCTTTTTTCTCTCCTTTAACACTTGCAACAAGATAAAAGAATACCTAATTCAGTCACTGAAAAAATATATGATGTCCAAGAATGCATGATGTGTGATATTTTAGAATTGCATCTTTACCATTATTAGTAGATCCCTCCCACTTGCATTTTTGTGTGTATTTCAGGAAAAATATAAAGAGTCAACTTATGTCTGATTTGGATAAAAAATGGAAAGCAGCAATATTTTGAGGGTACATAAATTATCACTAAATTTGAAGAGACTTGTGTTAGGTGTTTGCTTAATAAATAAATAGCAGTGGTGTTGCATTTTTGAATTGTGTGCAGATTATTTGGCTGTCCTTTTGTGAAACATTTAAATACTTAATACAGAAATTTCTGTAAAGAAAGGAGAAATGAACAGAAGAGTGCAAAACTGTATTACAGGTAATCCTTGTAGTCACAATTTGGTCCAGAAATTCAGTGATTAGGCATAACAGTTGCTAAGTGAAAATTACATGACCATGACTATACTTATTATTTTACTTTAGTTTTCCTTTGCTTGCTACTTCCTTCAGTTGAACAGAGGTACTTTCTATTTGAGATCTTGGTATGAGGTAAATAAGAAAGTAAAGTAAAAGAAGAGAGATAACTGCAACAGGCTGTAAATGCAATGGTTGGTCCCTAAATTGCTTTTTTTACTATTTTAACTTCAAATACTAAATGAAGCAAATCACTAAGTGAAGACTACCTATAATTATAAATACTGTACTATGGTTTAGAATTAGAGGGAACAATTTAGGATATGAATTCAAAATCTTTCTCAATTTATTTCCCCAATAAATTTCCACTCAGTTTCTGCTTCAACATATCCAGCAAAGGGAAGCATACTACCTGTCTAGATAGTAATGGACAAAGTGCTCTTATCAAAATGACACTCATGGGAATAGCCGGTCCCCAAATCCTAGATTACATATAAAGCATGGAAACTGGGATACTATAACTTGTGTAATAAAATTGAGCAGCAATCTGGACAATTAGTATGTAATTTCTCTCTCTTCACCCTTATTTTTACCAAGAAACAAAATTAATAATTGAATTAATGTACCAAAACTAATGTAAAATCAGAGTGCCCTAAAAATAAACACATTCTCATGAGATCAATGCTTTATCCATAGTGATTAAGCATTTAAAAAAAATAAAAGGTACAGTCTTCAGCTGTTGAAAGTTTATCACTACACAAAAACGCATTGAGTCTTAACCCGCAATTTTCTGATTCAACAGTATAGGACTCAGGGTTATGTTTATATGATACATCTAATGGTTATGCAACACAATTTTTTGAAGTCTCACAAAATTTTCTTTTCAGTGAAAGTAAATAATTTAGCATATTAAGTCATAAAGTTTTATTATTTTTGGCTTAGCAAGAGCATAGTCAATTCATTTTTCAAGAAACAATAAAAAACCCAATATTTAGCCTGATGTAGGAGCTCAGTTCAAATGTAGAATGCCCACATTACTAATACAATATTACATTAATACTGTATCATTAATATTGTATATTAATATAATTATATACTATTATATAATGTATTAATATATTAATATTACTAATACATCATTAAACATTAATTTTCTACTAGGCATATTTTGTTAGTTTCAGTGAGGAGAATCAAAAGTATTTCTAAAGAAATAAGCATTAACTGGTGTCAGAAAAGTATATGAAACTGGTTTGTTTATTGGTAAGTTATGATTAGCAAGTTCTGTAAACACTGTTATTGGATGAATATTTCATCGTTTGTGTATGTGATAAGGAAAAAAACATTAAACGATGGAAAACTGATTACCCCGCCTAAATTCTTCATATACATTCAAAGCTGTATGACAGCACACATTTTCTTAGAAGCAGCTTGAGACAGAAAAAGAATTGTTAACTGCCTCTTGAAAGAACAATTTCAGGGAGAATGTGGGAAGAGACAGATGTAGAAACAAGGAAAAGAAATGAGATGTGTCTGGACTCCCACAACATACTAAATTAAAATGTAGTTGTTTGTGGTTTGTTAGTGCAAAGCAAGCCAGAGAATACATGGATGACTGGGTGCTATGCAAAACCAAGCAGGTAGTTCATTAAGTGAACTGTGGGCTAGAGTGTGAATTTAAACTTGGAGTGCATGAGTGTTTCAATCAGTTCACAAGGCAAGGGCTCCTATCAAGAAGTTAACACTGATGGCTAAATATACATAACATGCTGAGACATGGTTTGTTGAATAGTTAAGTGAATAAACTACCATCTAAATCAGCAGTGTCCAATCCAAGGCCACGTGGCCATGGGCAGCTAGTAATGTGGCCCCATAAAACTAATAAAAATAAGTTTTTTTTGTTATTTATATACATTAACTATATATGCAACCTAAAACAATTCCTCTTCATTCAGTGTAGCCCAGGAAAACCAAAAGGTTGGATACCACTTGAGCTAGATCATACAAAATAAGTCATATACCAGTTTATTTATGTATTTTTATTTATTTATGTATTTATTTATTTGATTTGATTTGATTTGTCAATCGCTTACAAGATAATAGGTATAAGTATAAACATGAGTAAGAATACAGGAAATAGGTACGAATAAATGGTGACAATAGGACAGGGACGTTTGGTGTGTTGTGTCTTCATATGTGCTTTGTAGGATTCCTTCATTCCTTAAAACAATGGTTAGATTTGCAGATATCATTGGCTACATTAATGCAATATATCAAATTTGCCAACTATATTTTAATCTTGAGTGTTATGCAAACACAGCCAGTGAAAATGAATTTGATTCATCAAAACTATTTGTATAGCTTATCAAGCCAAATCAAATCATATGATTTAATTCATCAAAGGCAGCAGCTCCTTAACCTGGAAAGGAGAAACTTTCTGACAGTGAGAACAATCAGCCAATGGAACAGTTTGCCCTCAGAAGTTGTGGGAGCGCCATCAGTTGAGACTTTCAAGAAGAGATTGGAATGCCATTTGTCAGAAATGGTGTAGGGTCTCCTGCTTGGGGGGAGGGGTTGATTAGATGACCTACAAGGTCCCTTCCAGCTCTCATTATCTGTACCTGTATCAGTGAGTCTTTGCTTGGGCCCCCAAATTTGGGCTGCAATCCAGGTAACACCACTTGGCAGCTAAGTGCAGAAAAATCCCTTTCTTGCCTTTTATTGGTGGTCCTGGTATCTATAAGCCAACTGTAATACCTCTGATGATTTTCAAACCCTGTGTCTCAAGCACTGTGTCTCAAGCTTGGAAAATTAAACTGGCTGGCTAGGGAAATCTGGGAGTTGGAAGTCCACACATCTTAACGCTGTCAAGTTTGAATCACTGCACTAAATGACGAAGAAATCGCACCATTTGACAAATATCCCATAGGGTGTACAGTTTTAATTAGGTAGTAACCATATGTAAGATTACTTGCACAAGTAAACAAACATACTTAGGCGAAGCCAATATTTTTTTCAATCACGGTTGGATACATTTAGACAACATCTTCAAGCACAAAAAACGCAGTAGAAATCGCCTTCAAAACCTTCTTTTAGTCCAGCCCCTTCTCAGAATTCTGCCTGCCGAATCGGGTGCGTCATGGTTTGTGTCAGAGAAGCAGAGGCGGCTGGTTCCTCTTTTAACCGAAGCTCGGACTGAAACCCGGAACTGGTTTTGGGAAGGCCGTTTCCTTTTAACGTGTAGGGGTGGGGTTGGCTTTCTTCTTTCCGCAGCAAATCTAGTGCGGCATGGCGTCGGTAGGCATGCCTGACCCGAGCTTCTTGTGGGGAGTCTTCCAAAGGTGAGTCGAGTGAAGTTTCTCTTTTTCTCTTAGGGATAAAGCTGAATCGGGGAAGGAGCCCTCGCCTCCCTCCTTTTGCGCCGGGCATTCTTGATTTGAGTCTTCTTTGCTCCTATTCTTGGCCCGCGTCATAAGAATATTTTCTTGTTTGATTTCAGGGTTGATAAAGACCGTAGTGGTATCATCTCAGACACCGAGCTCCAACAAGCACTTTCAAACGGTAGGATGTCCTTTTATTCCTTAGAAGTGCTGCTCTGGTGACAAGAACGCCGGTTGCGTTCACACAACTCCGTTTTTTAATGTTTCACTTAATCATACTGCATTTGGTTAACTCTGCTGAATTCGTGTACGTTGCTAGGTTCAAAACGTAGTTTATTAGTCGGTGCTTTAATGTTTCTGGAGAGCACATCTCTCCCTCTCCCCTATAATATTTATTGTTATATAGCAGGAATGTTTTCTAACTCCAACATGAATGATCAAAAGCTGGAAAGATAAATGTAATTAAATTCAGTGATCACAACCGGAATCTGATCAATCAATTCCTAGAAAAATACGCTCGAATTCTAAAACTAAAATTCAGTGTACATTTATAAATTAATTATACCCTTTTAGTTTTTTACTTCGTTATAAATTTTGGTTAGAGTGATCTCAAGTTAAATTATTTTTCTAGGAAAATATGGAGGCAAAATTTATTAATTCTATTGTGAATTGTCTAGAGATTTTTGAGATGAAAGAGCACAACTTGCTGCTCTCAAATAGGTAAAGAGGGAAGATCGGGTTATTTCCTAAAGAGGAGCCACCAGAAATTCCAAAGATCAAATAAAAACATCAAAAGAACATTCCATAAGAAGGCATGGCAATTTCCTTGTTCCTGCTTATGAGCATGTCCAAGTAGTCCCGGAAGTCATTCAGCTTCTGGAGAGTTTACATTTATAAATTGAAAGACATTTTGGGCTGTGGTAGCCTTCAAATGGAGATATGTGTGAAAGCTAAGACAATTCAGTATATTTAGTTGAAACAAAACAGTTAATAGTTAATCACAAAAAGGATGAAAGTCCTAGTGATTGATTGATTTTAAAGAACAGTGAAGCAATTGAGTATAAAGAAATATACAAATTTGTGAAAGCTTGTTTCAAAGCTGGTGCCAGTAAATATAATCAAATTTGTAGGAGGGATATTAATTTTGTTTTAACAGGTTTATTATTAAAAAAAACCTGAATATTGTTTTCCAGTTATATATGCCAGTAGCAAATAATGCAGAAACATTTTCTTTGTTGTATTCCATTAATACAGTGAAGACAATTTTGAAATAATGTAGTTTTTAGTTTGTGATAAATCATGTAAAGAAAAGATTTACAGAAAGTTTGTGATAATAAACTGAACCAAGTGGAAGAAACAGTTTTTCTTTGTGTTTACTCGGATCATGTTGTTTCACAATATAAGAATTTTAAGAATTAGTTTAGTATCTTGAAAGTTATAACAGTATTCATTATGACATCAGAAAATACTGTTGAAAAAGTCATGGATTTAGGCAGTGAGATTCTTCTGGATCCTGTTTTAAGTTTATTAATCCTAACTTTTTTTTGTTTAGTTCCCAGTGTTTTAAGAGAATTTTTTATTGTCCGGGTCTCTGTTTCTACCTAATCAACAAACTTGAGATATTACATTTGTCTACACTGAGGTGTGGAAAAGGAACTACTTGTTTGCACTATTATATCTGAAAATTACAATTCTTACAAGAAATGGAAATGATCATTCAAAATCCTTTTTATATGTTGTTTTATATGTTGTATTGCAATGTTCTGTCCAACCTATTGCCAATTTTGGATATTCATACCTTTAATAAATGCTGATGAAATGACCTGGCATGCTCATACGTTGTGTCTCATGTGATTAAAGGAAAGAGCATTATTCATCTCCATTTAGAATACTGTAGACTAATTATAATTATAATTCAGTGTATAACTTGACTACAAAAAAAGCAACAGTTCTAATTTCTTTTTTGTTGGCCAACCTTACTTTCAGTGTTGTATTCAACATGCTAAACATATGAAAAATAATTCTGGGCAATCTGGAACAAACCAGTGCAGAAAAATTAAAAGTAATTGATGTCTAGAAATTATAAAGGAAGATGGAAATAATCGGGAATATTTAGTTTTGAGAAGACAGAACCATCCTTGACAGAATGGGTAGCATTCTGCAGTAACATGGAAAGAAACTACATTATTCCATGACCGGCTCTTTGTCATTACAAAGGGCAGGCAGGGATGGGATCCGACCGGTATAATTGCCGGTTCTGTTGCTCTGCGTCATGCGCGCATGCGTGAGTCGCACGAGTGCAATTTACGACCTGTTGAGCTTCCCGGACAGCTGAGCAGCGCAGTGTGCGGGTGCGCAGCAGTTGGAAAAGCCCTTTTTTCCTGGTTTTTCAACCACAGCTGTGCTGCACAAAGTAGCTGAGGTTGAAAAAGCAGGAAATAAAGGACAGGTAAGAGCCCGGGCGGGCGGGCAAAAACAGCAGCAGGCATAGAACCGGTTCTATGTCTGTTGCTCTTCAGAGCAACCGGTTCTACAGAGGTGGACAGAACCGGTAGAATCCCATAACTGAGGGCAGGTCATGTAATAAGGGCTTAAGTAACAGGAAGGTAGAGTCCAGTTGATTATTAAAAATATTGGGGTTCATTTTGCTAATATTCATTGAATTGTTTACAACAGTTGGTTTATATTTGCTTTTTGTTTGATAGTGTTTGTTATTGCATGTTGGGAATATGTTTATTGTTAGAATTATTTGTGTTGAGCTATGTTAGAACCATAGAAAAGGTCATTTTGACTACCTTGTCCAATCCCCTATTAAGTGCTGAATGCAAATTGGAGCATTCGATCAGAGAGCTCTGTAATCTTCTCTTGAACATATACAATAAAGGGAGCTCACCATCTTTCTGAGTAAATGCTTCCATTGTCAAACTATGTTTAGTTAAACTATGGTTAGGTATGTTTATCATATGGATATAAACATTAATACTTTTTAAAATAAAATATGTGGTAAGGATTTTGATAAAACATCTGTTGGGCATGAAATAGAGAGGATATTAATAAAAAAACATGAACTTGAAATTGCATTTTTCCCCTTGAATAGTTTTACACTATTGTTCCTTGGGAATTGAGAATGAACCAATTCCACAGTTAAGCATTCTATGAAAAATTTAGAAAAAGATGGATTCCATCTTTGATTAAGCATTCATTGGAAACTACGCTTATTAAGTTGATTTCTACTCCATCTCTATAATAAAATGCTGATGCATATATATATCTTAGAATTATAGCTGTAGATCACCATCAACACCTATAATTTAGAGGATATAGAGCAACAATGAAACTATAGTACAAAAAAACTACAGGTATATGAGGAAGAATTGAAGAATAGAAAGATATTCAAAAAGAATGATTTTATGAAATTGGATAAATATTTGGAAAATAAGAGTATATTTTAAAAAATCAGATTTACAGGATTTTCTACATCTGATTTAATTGATTGAAGTATGTAAAACCAAGAGAATTCCCCATCTAGTGAGAGTGGGAGGAGGGAGTGAATACTACATAATCATGCTAAACCATCATTTGCATGATTGTGAGGAAACCATTCCTGGAAAGTTGAAAGAGGGACAGTTGACTGTAGGGAAATTAAGATTGTGCTTTCCATTAAGATACTTTTTCTTAATATAGTTTTGCTCCTATTACCTCAGGATACATATTGTGGAGTGTAACTTGAACAGGTACCGATGAGACAGGTTATCAGTAAGTACTTTTGCTACTCAATTCAATGCAAAATATCTTCAAAGTAATTGCATCTGACTTATCTGTTTCTACAGCCTAGGAGATACAAAAATCCTCACTGCTACTGCTTTTTGAATCATAGCTGGAAATACACATACACATATATATAAAATAATTTTCCGTGTGTGTGTGTGTATCACATTCTTTAGACTCAATTGGGTGTATCTGAGCCTGTGACTTCACATTTGCTGTGATTCTAAACCACATGTGGATATATTTGGTATGTGTGTGTATATACATATATACATACACACACACACACACACACACACACACACACACATATTGTTTGACAATATTAAATAATATTTACATATTGAAGTTGTGCTAAAAGGGAAAGAGGAATTGCTAAGCAGAAAGCTGAATTATAAATCACAAATGGTTGGCTCATATTTAAGTGATTGTTCACTTGGATTCCAAGATCCCTCTCACAATTACTGGCATTGAGCAGTTTGACCTAGTCTGTTAATTGTACAGTTGGCTTTTCTTGTTTAAGTGTAGAACCATATTTTTATCAAGATTGAATTTCATTTTGTTAGATAGGGCCCAGTGCTCAAATCTGTCAAGATCTTTCTGGATTTTGAGCCTATCTTCTGGGCATTGGCTATTCCAGCTAGGTTAGTGTCACCTGCAAATTTCATGAGTTCCCCTTCTATTTCCTCATCTGGTTTGTTTATTGAAGAGTATAGAGCCTAAAAGAGAACCTTGGGGTACCCCACTCCCTACTTCCCCTCCATTGAGGACTACACACTGACTACAATTTGTCAGCCAGTTATAAATCCCATCGGATGGTGATGTTGTCTATTCTACATTTTTCTAGCTGACCAAGACGTAAGTTATGGGCAAATGCCTTACTGAAATCTAAGTATACTATATCTACAGCATTTCATTGATCCACTAATTTAGTCACTTTATCAAAGAACGAAACAAGATTTGTTGGGCATGACAAATCCATGTTGGCTTCTGATTACGACCCCATGTTGGCTTCTGATATGCTTTTTGGGCATATAGCATGGTAGACTTGTGGGGCTGGCACATTGTACAACAAGGTCACATAGTGTAATAAGATTTGGACTGGGTTAGGGACTTCTATCCTCCGTGAGTTGTGTTGGGGGGAGGTGCACGAAGGGAAGTTCAGCCAATCTCATTGTGCACATGTTGTACTCTGACAATAAAGGTAATAATATAATGAAAAGTTAATTGTAGAACATCATTTACGTGTTCACTTGGTTGTGTTTGCATGCACTAAAATGTTCTGAAATGTGTATATAAACATGGTAAAGGGTATAATGAAGGATATTAGACGTTTAAGTTTTCAAGTCCTCCTAAAACAGGGATCTTTTAATACAAATTGTGGCATGGAAATTATGTATATTCCATCCAGGT